TCTTCCAAAAGAGCTGTAATTAACAACTTATACTTTCCTTAAGTTACTTTATGTATTTTTAACTTGAAAATGAACTAAGCATAAATACTAAATGTTTTATTTATCTTTTAAAATAAATATGTTAAAGGGTGCGCGATTACCCCATGAAGTGCTCGATTACCCCACACTACGGTATTGAATCAAGCGTTTTTTAGTTTTAAACATAAAAAATGTAAGCTTGCCCCTTTTTTACTCAGCAGTTTTTTTCACAATCGATTATTTTACTTTCCTTTATCGTGCATTATCGTTTTCTAACGATTAGTCTATCGTTGATAATTAGTAATTTACGGAACAACTTATGCAACCGAATATTTTTCAAAATTTTTTCATAAATGTTTCCGTAAAATATCTCAGTCACGTTTATTTAAAATATAAACAAACAAAATGGCAGCTACATCGTTAAGCGATAATATTTGTTTAATTCATTTTGATGATATATCGAATAAATGCATTAAAAATGCATTTATTCAATACATAAGTAAAATAGACTTTGTTACAGACTGGTATCGAACTATTAGTATCAAACACGCTGAATGACAAAGACGAGCTGAATCTGGTGTTACTATATTTGGGCCTGATCAAAAAGTACCGAAACAATAAAATAAGTTTATGAGTTTTGGCAGCAATAAAGAGAAATTGGTTAAGTTTCTTAAGAAAGAATGGAAAGGTTAAGTAATAAATGAAATAGAGATATTTTTTACACACGGTGATAGCACATACTGCTTCAGAAATTCGATTTGTTCGGAATTGCCCGAACTTCGTAGCGACCACGAAGAAGCTGATACTCGGTTATTGTTACATTGTAAGCATGCTTCGGTTTCATATGCTCATGTTATACTTGCAAGCCCCGAAACAGATGTGTTCGTAACTGCATTATACCATAGTTTGTTCACCTTTGCAACTCTTCATTTTGAAACAGGATGCGGAAACAAACAACGTATCCTTAATGTAAATAAAATCGTAAAAGAGATTGGTTAGGATTGGTGTGATACAATAATCGGATCCCATTCTTTTACAGGTAGATTCAATTAAGTTATATAAGTGAAAGCATTATCTTTTTTGCAAAGAATTTATTTCATGCACTATTTGCTACTTTATCAAAAATAATATATTAAATTCTGCTGTTTATTTAAACTAATTTTGTATTTGAAAACGTAAATGTTTGAAGCGTTTCTACTTATTACTTAGATAACAGAAACTTGGTTTTGTCGAATGATATAAAAAATAGTTCTAATTTTCATCTTTTTAATTTTGAATCAATTTCATTAGAGAGGCAAACAAATAAACGCGGTGGAGGAGTTCTGATTTATATAAAAGATACCATTGCACATTGTATTAGGAATGATTTGAGTGTTTCTGACGGCGATAAAGAAATCGTAACCATTGAAATTTTCAACAAAGCGAAAAAAAGAAACAATATTCTGTTAAGCTGTTGTTACAGGCCACCTGATGGTGCGTCCGAAAACTTTTTCTTGTATTTACAACAAAAAATAATTAACAAAGGAAATTATGAAAAAAAAAAAAAACTATATAATAGGAGATTTAAATATGAATTGTTTACTATACAATTATGACTATAAAGTAAAAAAAAATTATGATGAAATATTTACAATCGGAGCGATTCCGCTGATAAATCGTCCGACTAGGGTAACACGAAACACATCAACTCTTATTGATAATATTGTTACAACAGACATTTTCAATTACAGCATTCAAACGGGTATTGTAAAAACTGATTTATCAGACCATTTTCCTATTTTCTTAACATTTAATGCCGGATCAACGCATACTTTAACAACAAATAAAATTACTAGAAAGCGTTATTTTACCAAAAAAAATCTCGAATCGTTTAAGTCTCAATTATCTCTGTTACATTGGGAGCATATTAACTTTAACGATAATGCAAACAACATTTATAATAAATTCTTTGAAACATTCTGCTCAGTGTATGACGCAAACTTTCCAGTTAGCGAAAAAAGAATAAATACTAAATTATTAAATAGTCCCTGGATTAGAAAAGGACTAAAGAAATCCTTCAGAACAAAACAAAAATTATATATTAAATATCTAAAAACAAAATCTTCTGCAAATGAAAAAATGTATAAGAATTATAAAAATATCTTTGAGAAGACTCGAAAAAATTTGAAAAAAATCTATTATTCAAATCTTATTAAAAAATTTCAAAACGACTCAAAGCGCACTTGGAATATAATAAAAGAATTAATTGGAAAATCAAATATATCTTCAAACTTCCTGCCAAACACTATTAACTTTAAAAACAAAATTATCTCCAAACCTTGTGAAATTGCAAAAAATTTTAATAATTTCTTTACAGAAATTGGAAAAAAACTTTCAAACAGAATTCCAACTACCGATAACTCATTTATAGGCTTTTTATCCTCTAGACACAATCTAAATGCTAACAATGAATTATCAATTGAACTAACTCCCGAGGAGTTTGACATAGCCTTTAAATCTCTTAAAAGAAATAAAGCTACTGGCTTCGACAAAATAAATAGTAACATAATTATAGATTGCTACGAAAACCTAAGAGATATACTTTTCAAAATCTTTAAAGCATCTTTAAAACAAGGGATTTTTCCGGATAAATTAAAAATTGCAAAGGTTATTCCAATCTACAAAAATG